TTATTTAATATAGCTTTTAAAATATTAATATATATTATATTTTATTATTATTTTATTTATATATATTAATATCTTCTTTTAAAGTAAAAATAAGTAAGTAAAATTAGGGTTAAGTATAAAAGATAAATTATAATAAATTCTTAGTATATTTACTTTATATTTAGGGTCTGCTCTTATCTTTTTATTAATATTAGTATTTTAGAAATATAAGTATGTGTACTATACTGACAAGTATTGGAAGACTAAGTTCCTCCTAATTGAGACTGGCGGTTGTAGATGTAATAGTCGTCAAGATTAAAAGTGCGCTTAAGTTGGCAACACATTGCCAGACCAGAAAAACCCGCCCCGATTATAATCACCGTGCTGGCTGGTGGTGACGGCATAGTAAATCAACGATAAGAATGTTTTTAAATATTGTGCAGGTACTTACCAGATTACTCATTGCATATATGCTCTAGTTTATTCAGTCACGAATGACAATACGCGATGGTCTTGGATTGATTCTTATAGCTCCCCAAATGCGCCGTCCCCGACCCCCCCCGGTTTCAACCTCACTCATTTTGGCGGCACTTAAGGTATGTTTGGAGAGCCTCAATGGAGTTAAAGTCACTTGTTGCAATTTTCGAGCTAAGCATCTGTCGGGGAGTACCTGTGCTATGGGTGAAGGAAATTTGAGCGAATCAAGATGGGCAAAAGTCATGCGGGTGTAAGTACAGAAGAGCTTAACTACTACTTAAGTAAAGAATCTTAGTTTTTTAAAATATTAGTGTCTAAACTTTTAACCTACGTAGAAGTGGCAAGTTAGTTCGCAGTAATAAGTTAGTTCGCAGTAGCAACTTGGTTCGCAGTGGCAACTTGGTTCGCAGTGGCAACTTGGTTTGATGGCTCATGAAGATTGCCTTTGGCGGCCTATAAGTTAGAGGCCACTGTTGCAAAACTCAAAAACACTCTCCTAGATGGAGATGATAGAAAGCCAACCCCACAATACATTGGACAATATACCTCAGCTGGTAATTTTACAACGAAGGCGTAGAGCAGTATCCCTGTTTTACCTGCCTCGCCGCTACGCTGGCCAGCTTCAGCTTAGTGTCGAGAATTGTGTGGCGAGGCAGCTGCCTGACTAGCAACAAAATTGACGGTGCTTGTTCACCTAGCTGCTGGTCCGCAGCAGGCCTGTTGACTATTAGATTTGCTAACGCGGCATAAATTGAAGAAAGTTGAACCAAGGCACTTGGTTTGACGTACTCTAACCCGGTTTGACATGAATTCAAGGTGGTGACTGGTTTCGTTTTTTCAGTTCAACAGCTATCTTTGCCCTTCTATCATTTTTTTAGTTGTTTTGTGGTGAGAATTGCCCTGGACATCTTTGTACTTCTTGTGCCTTTTGTCCTTGTCGCATTCGGTGCAGTACCATTGTTAAATATGAAAATGACTGGCTTCTTTATTTATTACTTATAGGGAGCCCAAGTATCTAAATCTGGGTGCCCGTGTATTATGCAGCCTTGTGGTGTGTGTTTCATTAAAAAGGTGCTGTATCGGCTGCATCACATCGCATTGTTCACTATCCAAGGAACTCACATATGCTTCGTATTATTCGGCGTCCGGGCAGCGCAGAATAATGTCCCTATGAAACATGGCAGCCGTGCCCAATATTACCAACTTGAGCCTCTGTCTCGTCTTGGCGACCTGGAGACCCCGTATCTGGCTGATAATTACCTTAAAGACCCTCCCTTTCCTAGTGTGCTTCATGGCAATTCTTTTACTTGTATTCTTGGTACGGGTAGTTCTGAAGAATCGGCGGGTTATTTGCCAACGAGACAGTGCCGCGGTGGTGTTGGGGAAACCTCTTTTATTCCCTCTAACCATTACTCATACCCGCATATTGCCGATAAGGAATCAGTTCACCTATAAGTTGCTCTACGTGGGCATTCCCGTAGGCTTTCGCGGTCGAATTGGTAGCTTGATTTCTATCGACGAAGATTTCAAGCATTTTGATGACACGTCAACTATCTTTCGACTCTTTTGGGAAGGTATCCGGCTGTTCAATGCCTGATTCAGTGTCGATCCTGTTCATTATCTTCATCGCGGTGGTGACCAATACGGGCTTCACAAAAAACTTCGTCAATTTTTGAGAGATCAGGTATCACTTAATCATCATCTTCTGACCACTCTAGACTAAAGGTCTGACATGAGCACAGGACGAGAATCCGGAACAGTGGCCTTACGCATACATGCTAAGCGTTCCCCGGTTTTTGCAGTACTCACGGAATGTGGTGACTTGGTGGTACCTCTATTCTCCCAGTCGAGAACTCGATGCTATAATCATGGAAATCAACAACTCTTTCGATGAGAAGAGAAATGTTCTTTTCAGAGTCCATGGGAAGAAAGACCTAGGTACAGCTGGTCCCGGGTCTGGGAACAGCCACATGGACAGTACTCTATCGTTGAACTCGCCCCCGAAGTTAAGCAATCGAAAAAGGACCATTCGATATCTGGACTCGTTACCAAGGTCAAATTTCTATGAAGGCTTCTGGGGAAAGGGCATTTTTGCCTCCCCATTTGAGAAAGTAGAAGGGAGTATATCAGTCAGAGTCAAGGATCCTCTCGACAGGAATTTTCAAGAGCATGACAAAACGCTTTCAAATACTACAAGTATCGGCCTGTCTGGCAAACCTAGGATGTCTACCCGTATCACCTTATGTGGAGATCCACTAGACCCTATGCAGGAAAGCTACATGAGCACATTACAATTCTTGATTCGATGGACCTTACCCGGCTTATCTACAAGTCTAAGAATTGTCTACCAAGCTATGAAACTTTATTATTACAAAGGCACACTGAGAATGATGGACAAACCCGATATCAGAGAAGGAAGCATTCCTCGTCATGCAAGCAAGTCTGAAAAGTATCATGTCCTCTTTCTTGCCATTGCCCTCGGACTTTTACACAGCCGGCTGATATTTATACAGGGGTCTGGAACCTTTTTTTCAGAGATATCTTGAACGCTGTGTTGAAACCTATCCAGAAGCACTCGAGGTCAAATATGAGCGTAATACCATGGTGCCTACTGGCTGCACTACCATGAGATCCCCGTCGTCGAGGAGAAGTAAGAACCGCGTGCATAAACTGAGAATTGTGCCATTAGATCCCGGCTTTTATTCTCGGGTCATTTGTTACGCAGATGCCTGGGACTGTCTGCAGCACGAAACGCGACCGGCCGGACAAGAGGCGGACATGTCAGCTAACGCTGTTCTGGTTTCAGACAAGTCTGTCATGAAGTCCCTGATTTTATCAGAAAGACAGTCTCCGCGGGCAGTAGAGCCACAAGCAATATCCATCATCTGGTGTCTGTTTTCGAGCATCCGTGGCCCAAAATTCATGGACTCATTCATCTACCATTCAGTTGACACCCGCCACCATGTTGCCTACATGCGCGCAGTTTGTCAGCACTGGCTGACCAAAATTTTCGCTTCCAACTCCGATAACATGCTTACAGTCTACATTTTTCTGGGGGGGTTGATAAAAACAATAGCCATCTTGGAGACAGTTATGAGGATATTGAACCTTAGTGCGTTGGTGTTTTCGAAGCTGTTTTGTGGAGAGACTTGCTGTTCCACGCCTTGCACTACAGGAATCTAGGGACAAGCCAAGGACGATAGTGGCTCGGTCTGTTGGCGTGGTACGAGTCATGTACCGGACATGACACGCAGAACAGTTGCTGCCTGGTGGGACCCACTAGGTAATTTATATGTATGAGGGCCGTCAGCCAGAATTTAGTAAAAGTACGTTCAATCACAACAGTATAATCTAAACAGTATGAGGTATCCGGGTCTTCCGAAGTAACGTGACCCTCACCGAATATCCAGTACAACCAGACCTTCATACAGTGGAGCTATTGCGTCGTTATCAGCCGAGTGCACCAAAACGGCCTAGTCCTTGACAATCCTGACAAATAGACGGAGCGACATGATAGCGGTGCGTGGTGCTCACAGGACAGCACACTCTACAATCCTCATTTCAACTCTTGCAACTGTCCGACCTAAGTCAACATGGTGAAGGTCATGTATGAACCGTCCCGTCAAGATCCCAGTAGGAGAAAACAACGTGGCATTCGTTCTCCGGGGCCAAGAATACTAGTTCTTGATCTTGGAGTTGTGGAGGCTGGGGTGATCGGACCGACAGGCAAAATACTCGAATTGACACCACATGGCAATCTGGCGCGGGTCCTAGCACAAAATCAGCTTCTCCCAGATGGCGTTGATGTGCATTTCCCCAGCAACCGCATTTTCTGGACTAACATGGGAAATCCTGGGGAGATGGATGGCAGCGTACAGTGTGCAAATGTAGATGGAACCGAGATCCGCACCATCATCTCCCCTGGACATATCAACACCCCGAAGCAGCTGGTTGTCGACTCAGACTCCCAAAGATTATATTTCGCTGATCGTGAAGGCATGAGAATATGGAGCTGTGACCTAAACGGCAACAAACTAGAGGTATTGGTAGAAGCCGGCACAAACGTGGAGGATCCGACTTGCTGGTGTGTGGGCGTACAAAAGTCCAAGAGAGGAAAACTCTACTGGACACAAAAGGGGGCCTCAAATTCAGGAAAGGGCCGCATTTTTAGCATTGACATTGCTAGATCAGAAAGACAGCCGGCCTGTCTCCTTGACAACCTTCCAGAACCGGTGGACTTGGCGCTGGACTCCGACGGGACTACGCTGTTCTGGACTGACCGTGGTGATATTCCGCATGGCAATTCGCTGAACAAAGTAGCCCTTGATCGATTAACCGGCCTACTCAAGACTATTGACACAAAGCCACAGGTAATTCTTCGGGGTCTTCACGCGCCCATAGGCTTGAAGTTGGACGAGGCGGGGGGGCATATTTACGTTGGCGACTTGGGCGGCGCTCTCTACAGGTGTAACTTTGACGGTTCAGGCAGGCAATTACTCTACTCTGGTGACGATCATAGTTTTACTGGTATAGGCTTACTCGACAATTTGGTCTAGACTAAGCCATTGTACTATTGTCACAACTGTTCACTACTGAGGCAACAACACTATCTAAGGATGCATAAATACAACCCTATACTTTTGTAGTTTCAAATTTGTATACGCAGTGCAGTTAGTCTACAGGCGAGTACGCAATCTTCAACCGCTTTCTCATCAAGATTGTATAAGAACTCCACAGTAACGCTAAAACTTAATTAAAATTACTTCATTCCCTGTTAAGTCAAGGCGTCGAATACGTATTCATTTATTAGTCCAGATTAGTAGTATATTCATGTTTGTCTTGTTCTTCTTCTTGTAAGCTATCTAAGTGCCTCCATTGCTGTCAGAGGAATCTGTCAGATAAGGCTGCCTCTGTTGATTGATCAAGCAGACTTGACGTAATTGCTGGACGTCATAAAATCATTGATATCAGCAGTTGAGAGGCTGGCCAGCCACCCTGATTTTATCAGGTGGCTGGGAAGTCTTTTAAACTAAAGATAAAAGACATGAACCCTTTTGAAGGATAGAAAAACAAGAAGAATAATTTTCATATTTAAAGAACTAAGCTTAGTTAACAATGGCTCTCATAACGTGACAGAATCCGCCTCTGTTAAGGTAGTTGAACAACCAGACTTGTGTCACGTTATGAGACTCATGTTAACTAAACTTGTTTATAAAAATTTTGTTGTTTTTTCCATGTCTAACTTGAAGAATTGAGGTCTTTTTATGGCCAGCCTTCATATTTTGTAGTCACTGAGAATCAACACACCAAGCTCTGCGACTTCAGTCTACTGAGGCATTATCCGACAAGGGTCTACCGTAATAGGCCCCGTCCCCGCCCAATATTCCCTGCGCTGCGTACCGCGCGTCCAAGAATAGGACTAGAGTACACTACCATACATACCTGGCTGCTCTTTTTTCTTCCTTTTCCCTCTTCAGAAGGCATTGAATCTATCTGTGTCGGATAATGCCTCTGTAACCACTTGACGAAATATGGAATGCTTCTCTCGTCAAAGAGCTTAATCAAGGCTGCGGTCGGACTTAACACCCCGAGCTTCTCGCGGCACAAGACTGCCCTAGCGTTGTATATGTCCTTTCTGGTGGAGTATTACTATTTGCACAGATAAAAATCTCTATTTGCACCGTGATCATAACGAAGGGCCCAAGTAAGTTCATGCAGACGCTATGAGGCATGAGGGCGTGGGAAGCTCGAAAAAGTCCGTGGAAGAGACGAGAATATATTATCGAGTGTATTCTCGTCCCCAAGTCCATAAAACTGCCTAATACTTGTACTGGAGCTACTCGTGGATAACTAAGGGCTAGATCTCGTGTGCTGGGTAGATCGCTGTCGTTTCCTTCCAGATATTTGATCACAGGGATTGTAACTTCGCTGTCGGCGAAGATTTGCGCGGGTAGAATGATTAAACGTAGATATAGATATTAAAATGATATTATGGTTCTCAAATGTTTATGGGATAAAGAGTAACGTGATTGCGCTCGTACATCAACATGTTATATTTCTGACCTCCTCAGAATGGATGTAGCTGCCTGCCAGGCAGCTGCTACTGCCTAAACTAGCCAAGTTTTGTCGAGCCACATGGTGTTGAACGTCACAGCGGAACACAGATGAAAAGAGTGCGTTGATTTCTCTAAGCTAGAGATGCCGCCCAGGCACGCTATTTATGGAAGGCGCAGGCTGGACCCTGCACGTGATGCTGTTTCATGTTCAACACATGGAACCGTGCAGCTGATCATGGAATTTGTACTCCTCAGAATTCCCAGTCAGAATCGTTGTTGCTTAAATACAGCTAAAACTCGGCCTAATACAGTATCATACCACTATTGTCTGATGTGAGTAATTTTGTGACGAAGGCCCTACACCTCACTTCAGGAGCCAGAAAAGGCAATCCAACGGATGTACCCTCTGGTACTTGGGGGGCGGCAGAATTAACGGTGGGTTAACGGAAACTCTTGTGACCAATCAGAAGTGGTGAAAATCAGGCCCGTGCAAGAGTCAGGCCCGTGTAGCAATTGCCTAAATATGATTTAACTAAATCATACACGTATGATTACAAAGCCTGCTGGCAGCCTGCTTGGCAAATTGTGACAAAAACCAGTCAATACTCTCCAAGTCCTCCGGGTTTCCAATAAATGATACATGTTGATCAGGGCGCACAATGACCACGCAACCCTGCTCAGATACACCGTACTGACCATGAAGATGACCCCCCCTGCCATTGTAGGATACATTGTCAGCATAGACCTTGCCATAATCATACCCATTTATCTCATTGAACAAGTAAAATATCGGAGGTAAGTCGAAAAACTCAATGTTTTGTCTTTCTGTCGAATATACAAGGTATATGTCAAAAGTACCAAACCTGATCTCCTTACTGGAATTCAAGGATGGCGTGCCGAGCAATCTTTTCCAAAGAAAATCGCTCAGGTGCTTGAGTCGACTTTCTTGTACTGGATCAGTTATATTGGCCCCAAATACCAAGATGTACCACTGTCCATGCCCACACAACAAGCTGAGAATATTGCAAGATAAAGCATCACTGTGCCGGACAAGTAAGCCATCCATTAGTCGACCGCCAACGATCAGGTTGGACGCTAAACCCGCACATCGTCCCCGCTGAGTGGAGTCTGTGCCAGTCACTAGGCAGTTAATCTGATACGTGACCGATAAACCTGATTGGGATGTGTTTTCTTGTTCCAACACATTACCAAGCTCGTATGGGTCAGAACGGTTACTCGTAGAGCATATATGTTGATACAAATTCTTGTCGAAGGAAAGTAGTCTCTCTGCTATCGGTGAACGTTCTTGTTGATACGTATCTAGGATCGACGGATCCGCGACGCCCAATACAACGGAAGCAACCTTCCAACCGAGATTGTATGCATCCTGCATGCTGACATTCATACCTTTCCCTGCTGTAGGGGAATGCGTATGGATGGCATCGCCCGCTAAAAATATTCTGTTGTTCACCGATAGGGTTTTGCAAACCCGATGGCTGACCTACATCGTTGTATCTTAGAGCTGTTCGTCACTAGGAAAAAGGGCTCGTCTTGCACACCTTGTAGATGCTTGCCCAACTCACATGCCGAGTTTCCAAATGAAAGGGGTAGATAAAATCACGAATTGCTCCAAGTATACTCTCCGCAAGCTGAGCTGAACCAGTTTGACTAGCAACACTGGTTGGAAGTTGCACATAGAAGCGCACTAGTGCCTTCTCACGGGGAATTATCATTATACTTCCTCCTTGGCAATTGATAATGCAACGTTTCCGCACATCGGCTAGCGATTATCAGCAGTGAAAGGAGTCGAGTAGTGTGCGGAGTCCGTACGGAAGTTTGTCACTGGAACGCAATCAATCACGCCCCAGCTTTCCTCCCTCGAGTCGCCCTCCATCTTCAAACCAAGAGACTTGCGAACCCAGCTGTGGGCACCGTCACAGCCAAGAAGATACTTTGTCTTAACAGTATAGGAAAAGTTGGAGTGTGGTTGTTTATTCAAGGAGAAGCTTCGCATGCCGTCTGTACTGCCAAAGGAGGAGCATACTTGAGTTAGCTCAACCGTAATAGGATATTCAGGAGATATCTCGGAACTGTTCCCAGCATGCATAGATTGAGGGGAGACCCCACGCTGCAAAGTCACATTGCCTGAATGTGTGACAAACATTGATAGACGTTGTTCAATCTCGCCTTGTGCTATAGTCGCTTCGTTATATCGTGAGAGACCCACGTGTGAGTTGCGACGTGTATGATTGCGTTTGATAGGGCCATCATCGCGTCCGTCCTATTTTAATGATATTTGATGAGTCACCATGTAGAAAAAAAAATGAAGAGATCAGAGTCATATATCACAGCTTTGACATACCCATAAGCAGACCTCAACTATCTTATTAGCGTCCTGCCAAAGATTGTCGCCGAGGCCAAACGAGTCCAATATTTCGAAAGTTCTGGTCTCAACACCGTCAGCACACCCATGGGTCAGTGACTGCTTCTGTCAACGATAAGGGTGCGGACACCTGCGCGGGCCATCCAAGCTGCTGCTACAAGACTGCTCGGAGCTTAGCAATTCAACCACCAGGCAACTTTATAATGGTAGTGGCTTCCACTTACCCAGCAGGGCCTACGCCAATAATAACAATATTAAACTTATTAGCTGTTATTATAGTATATTAATTATATGAAGTTTAAAGCGGCTAATATATTATTAAGGTTAAGATTCTTGATTTATATTCTTCTTAAAAAAATAATAGTAGTAGTAAGGTAATTAATAATATAACCTCTCCGGAAAAGGTAAAACCGCTAATATAAATTTATTAGGCAGCTTTGCTCTTGGTATTATTAGCCTTATTAGGCTTTTTTATAGCTAATATAATAGCTTTTTTAGAGTTATATTTTAGCTTTATATTTTTAAAGGCTTTTTTTTTTATATTTTTAATAGCTTTATTATTTTTCTTAATTTTTATTAAGTTAAGATTTTTAGCTTTATAATAATTATTTCTTTTATTATAAAAGGCTTTTAATCTAGTATTAATTATATTACCCTCTAAGCTTTATTAGCTTTTAACCCCTAAAAATTATAATAAGTAATTTACTTATATTAAGCTTTTTGGTACTTTTAGAGCTTATATTATTATTAGTAAGCTAGTCTAATTAATTTTATTTTATAAGGGCTTATATTAATAAGTATATACTTTATATATAATAGTTTATAAATAGTTATAGTAAATATTAGTAAATACTTATAAAAAATATATATATATAAAGGTAGTAACTTATAATTAGTTATATTAGGTCTTAATAGCAAAAAAGGCAAATAACTTAGATAAAAAAGAATAAAACTAACTTAAAATATACTGACACTTTTGCTACGCGGGCCTGACGCTTTCGCGGGCCTGACTTTCACCGCCTCTAATTCGCCTATGTTTTCTTGACCCATAAGTACTTCTAAGTAAAGGCGGTGTGGCTTACTTCCCTAATAGTGCCTAAAATTTATAACTAAGGTG